CAATGTATATAACTCTGTTGAAAGTTCACTTGCTCTTTTAGCATTGTACTTTTGTTTGTTACATTGAGCCGCAACCATTTTTACTTTGTCAATTTCCCACTTTGGTGTTTCTCGAAAATTTAAACTTGCTGATAAAAGCCTGAAAAAATATCATTAGATTTATATATTGTGAATATATCATTATTAGCACCACATCTCTATAAATTGTAAGAGTTATAAACTTACAATATAATGTTGGGTGAAAATTTAGTAACATAAATATAATTTACCTATGGACCATAATATCAGCATATCGTCGAATGGGGCTAGTAAAGTGAGTATAAAGTGGAACATTAAGAGCATAATGCTGGAAATCATCATCACTTGTGCAGCCACCAGCACAGAAATATTTAGCTCTTGTCATTGGTTTAGCACACAACATATTGAGAACCATAGCCTTGCCTCTATCAGCCACACTTGGCTCAATATATTGCAATAATGATTTGTGCAAGCTACCCGCTGAAGTAACATCCAAGTCAATACCCATTGGTTTTAATGATTTCGCCAGCTGTTGCAACATATATCCACTAGGTGGAGGATGGCATCTCAAGAATGCTAAATTAGGATAGTCATCATAAATTCTCTTTGCTACAGTCATATTAGCTAGTAACATAAACTCTTCAATAAGCTGATGGCTTTGTTTGTTTTCATACACCCAAAGGGCATCTGGTAGTCCTGTTGAAGGATTCAGATGAAATGACACTTTTGGTTGGTCAATACGTAATGCACCATTGTCAAATCTAGATTTTCTAAATATTGATGAAATTTTGCCAAGAGTTTTAATTGTATCATAAACATCTTTATATTCAAAACCATTATAAAACTCGGGGAATAACATCTCTGCATCTTCTCTACTATCCAAAACAGCCTGAGCATGATCATAGCTTAATTGACAACATGAATGAATGACTGTTTTGGAGAATCTGTGACTTAAGACTTCTGCATTATCAGTTATTTCCCAAAATACAGAAAAGGCAAGCTTATCAACACCTGGGAATAAAGAACATAGCATGCATAAATCATCAGGGAGCATGTGGTATGCCTTCTCAACTAAATAAATTGTTGTGGCTTTTTCTGCTACTTTCTCATCTAATATAGTATTCTCTGTCAAAAAATGGGATACATCTGAAATATGTACTCCGATTTCGTAATTTCCGTTTTCAAGTTTTCTGCATGACACAGCATCATCAATATCTCGACAATTTGCTGGATCAATACTAAAGGTGCATAATTTACGACAGTCCTCTCGTATTTTTATTTCTTCCACTGGTATCACGTAATCCAAACGTGGATAGAGATCTCTTACTTCAGGTCCAAATGGGGTAACATCTAAATCTGTCTGAGCTAGAATTGCTTTTGCTTCTGAAAGCATATCCCCAGATTGGCCAATGTTACATATTATTTTACCTAAAGCAAATCTTGTATCAAACCAACTTTCTATTTTGGCCAAAAATAGGGTATTTTCGTAACTCTTTGCCTCTGCATAAAAATTATCTGGCCAACATGTGAAAGGGATATTTAATCTAGGGACTCTGTGGTCTCTTGGCACAAACAATGCTTTCTGTCTATTCTTATCTGGCATCAGTTTTAAATGACCAATGCAGGTTCTGGTATGTAATTTTTCTTTGATGTAAACAACCTTTCCTTTCTTTTGCTTTGATTCATCATTGCTCTCATCGGGCTGATGTATTATTTGCACAATTACCACATCACCTTCAAGAGATCTATTTCTATTTTTAACCCCATCAATAAGGATATCTTGAAGGCTTCTGTCACTGCTGGAAACATATGCATGTTGAAACTGTTTGGGATTTATTCTTAAAACACCTTCTACCAAACTATTTTCCTTTAAGCCAGCATCTACCGCTTCTGCATTTAAATAAGGTTCAAAGTTTTTATCCTCTTGATCTTTCTTCTTACCATTTTTATTCTTTGTGGGAGTTTCTTTAATAGTGCCATTTTTACCAGAGACAACTTGTCTTTTATCTTGTCTAAATTGTAGGTTACCTTGTCTTCCATACATCTGGTTAAGAAGAGGATGTTGCATCACATTTTGCAAAAATCGCGGGGTGATTTGATCATTGCACAAGGGTGTACCTGGGTTGCTCCATGCATGTGATATAGAGCTTGGGTGGGTTAAAGGAGAATTTGGTAAACTGCCAATTTGATTATTCATCCTCAATAAATTCACACAATTATTTTGCATGCTGTGTTGGTAAAGTTGCAAATGTGCAAGATTTTCCAAATATTTGGAGTTATTTGCATTTAAAGGAATACCTGGATGTATAAATAAATCTTGATGAAATAATGCAGAAAAGGGCTGATACTGTGGTGCAGTGCTGACTCCCGGAATTGCGTGCCCTTGCTGTTGAGTGCCAGTTGTTGTTGGCATTTCTAAATGCATGTTTCTTATTTTCTCTTTTTTCCTTGAATTTTTACCTTTTGGTGTATTCTTACTTTCCACCTTATAGCCTTCGACATCAGTAGCACTCCCATGATTTGTTGCAACTTCTTGCGTTCCCGATGCCTCTTCATTGTTAGGCGATCTCGTACTTTCTGCCAACGCTGAGTTTTTAATCGATTTCTTTTGGTCAGACATTTTCAAAACTTTAAATGTCTTACCACAAAATACAGTTAACCGTTCATCGATTTTCTTTATTGTTGAATGTTGTACGAGTGCTTTTGATGTGGATGGTTAAATAAACAATATTTACTTTTTACTAATCTATATTATATGCAAACATGGTAAACAAATTATAATGAAAGACATTTTCAAAACTCAGACATACATGAATTTAGACTCACAAAAACCAACAAAAACTGACACACTATGACACGTACATTGTTGACAAGTTAACATATAAACGTGACCAAAAACTAAAGAGCTAAGCCAAAGAGTATATAAAAAATGCCAAAAAGTGAAACCAAAATGCACAGAGAGTAATTAATTAAGAGTCAGGTTGCCAGATTTTATTAAATGCTAAACATATTTCTAGTTAACGTTAAATCATATCGCTAATTATATAATCGAAAAAATCAAGTTCACTATTTTACGCATGTTATTGTGCACACACATCTAAAGTGACTGATAAACATGGCTTTTTGCTTTTCAGTACCAAATAAAACAATTTCTAGGAAACGGAAACTAAAAAAAAGATGACATATGTCAATGTCTTTTAGATTTTAGGCGCTGGGAAAAATTAAAACAAAATTTAATTGTGATGAATTCATTGACAAAACAAAATTGGTTAAAATGAAGCTTATCACTCATAATATGCTCACATCTAAATGTTTAAAAGGGGTAATAACCGGCTATCCCTTGGCTATAACCGCAACTGTTGTAAAAGTGTCTGAGGTTGAATATAATCCTGAATTTATTTCCCGGATAATACCAAAATTAGATTGGGAAGTATTGTGGAAAGCGGCTGACAGTATTGGACACAATGAAGGATTACCACCAACTATAGACCCCAAGTTCGAAGATAATGAAGAGTTTTTAAGGAAAGCTCACAAAGTGTTATTGGAGGTTGAAGTGGAAGAAGGTTATCTCACATGTCCTGAATCTGGTAGACAATTTCCAATTACAAAAGGCATTCCCAATATGTTATTAACAGAAGCAGAAGTACAATAAATGTTATGTTAAATAATAATGTTTTTACTGTATTCATTTTCATATCAAATTAATATTATGTTCCATGTTCTAAAATTTGTAAATAAGTAAATTCAATCAAAACATATGGCAATATGTAATAATTTTCCGTATATTCAGATTTTATTTTTAGTATAAACCTATCCCTAATCTCAGTTTACACTTCTTCAATTTATGGATGACTCATCCAGTCTCATATTTAATGTATGTGAAACTATAGCATTCACAGAGATGTAATAAAAGGTATTTACTATGTTCAATGAATATACATTTAATGTAGCAGGTATATAAAAATATGAATCACTTTTACTATAGCATTCATCTTACTAATGTTTATAACATGTAAAGGTTTGAATGGATGTTTGTTTGAAGGTATCTTCGGAATGGATCTTGATGTAATTTTCACACATGTAGAACATAGTGAGGAAGAACATAGGCTATTCATTAAGTTATTTTTTTTATTCCGCGCGGATGGAGTCGCGGGAGACAGCTGTTATGAAAATATTATGTACTTTCATCATACAATTTAACATGCTGAAAAATGTAGTTCTAAAAATAAGTGAAAATATTGTACATGTTCTATTTTAAACACATTTTTCTTGAGTATGGGTTTTGAAATTGCAGCAGTATTCAAGAGGGTGTGCAAATTGTTGTATGTTGATTATAGGAAATATAGTAACATTTCCACTGGTATACAAAACCAGTCATTTTCATTTTGTCACTTGGAACTGATCCATTTAAGCCACAGATGTTACAGTCACTACAACTGTTTCTAATGTAACAGCATTTGTCAGGATTTATTGATTTCTTAAATTTTTTACAATTTAACGAATTTAGCCTTAAAAATACTTGAGCATATATAGTAGAAAATCACTGCACCCAAGGAGCAAGCATTTACCATACTCAATGAAATATGTAAGCAGAATCTAATCAAATTAAAAAATATATGATTGGTGTATTTAGAGCGCCAATAGCCTAATGATTAAGGTTACGGATTTCCCATCATGTGGTTGAGAGTTCATAAACCATATCCTATCACGAGCCTAGAGCTTACTTGGAATAGTACAAAAATAGGTATTAATAAATGTACAAAAATCTGCTAATATTGAAACAAAAATAAAACAAATCAATTTTCTATTACAAAAGGTGTTGATAATGTACTTTTTTTTTAATTTGATGTTCTGAGTTTTATAACTTGTATGATGGCTACTGCTTCAATTGTATCAACCCCCAAGGTATGGATAAACTGTCAATAAAAATAGTCTCATATTCAGTCTTAATAATATAATGACAGATCATAAAAAACAAAACAAGTATGGCTTTACTTTTAATGTTATTAAAAATTACGTAGACATAATAATTATTGGTTACATGAATAATTCTGTATAAACAATGTGAATAATGCTTGCACCAGCCATTTTAATTCAACATTTTCCTTAAAACGATACCAGCATTTTACATTGGCAAATTTGCTGAAATACAGATCTATATCTGCATTTTCAGTAAACAAATACAAGCAAATATTATCAGTACTTAAAAAGGGATTCTATTTGAATTTTTTTCTTCACATGAAAATGTAAATGTGGAAACATTTTTATGTTATTCTGTGACTAAGATTTAATTATATGTCATGTTATTCAAGGTAGGTAACATTTAAATTGTCATGTGAAAGGAAAATGTTTGCTAGCTTATGAGGTAATTCATCACAACGGCACAGGGTCGAAGCCACGTGGAGTGAGGCTGGTGCTGGAGCCAGGAGCCTCTCCACTTTGAGGACCTGTTTCACGGCCAACATTCTACCAAAGGAAAATATTTTTTTTATTATTGTAATTTGGTAAATTGTAATTTGTTGATTAAAGTTCACATGGTTGATAACATATGTACAATTTAAAATTGTAATATATTACTATGCTATAAACTCTATGCTTAAAAGTTGTTCCAGTGTTAAATACTCACCTTGACATGAATCTGGTTCTTGAGCATTGCAGCACGCAGAATAAGCATAGATGTCCTCCGTTGATACTCCTTTCCCATAGCCAGGCTCCTTTCAAATGTAGTGCTTCTTTGATCTACATCTTTAGCATACAGTATTTTATTGTGTGAATCAATGCGGGCTTGGATTTGGCCATCTAGTATTAATTGCATTAATTCATCTTCAAGAGCAGTCACTGTGCGGTTAAAAGCTGCAGCCATAAGGCGCATGTCAGCAGAGAGGTAAGGGCTGAAGTACTGGATTAGTGCTCTGTTGCGTATTTGCATATAGAGTGAATTTAAGTGTGGTGCTAGATACATATCTAAGAGAAGGTTGTCCCTAATCTCATCAAGTAACCTTAAACATGAAGCATATTTAGATTCATAAAATTTAAAAATGATGTCACGTAACTGTGGCTCTAGTTCTAAGAATAATTTAAAAGAACTGCTAACTATGACTTGTTTCTGTAATTCAGACCGATCAAATGTTGCCAGAGCACATAGTCCTCCATAAACTGCAACATTATTACTACTGAGAAGTTCTGAGTAATCACAATGATCAATGCTTGCTGCAAGAAATTGCTTTGCGGCAGATTTATATTTCTTTGTTGCTAGCTCAGCTAAGCCCGCAGCACATTTTAAGCGAGTCAAAATGGACTGGTTGGAATCTTTTCCTGGAATTTCATTGAAGTCTGGTGTGGCAACCGCCTTTGATACATAATTAAGAACATGTGCCCAGTTTTGCAAGTACACTGATACTTTAACAACATTGAGGCACATCATAATAATATGTTTACCACTTGTACAGTAATCTCGAGCTCTAGAATAGCATTTCAATGCTCCAGTGAGATCTCCACAATCCAAATAGTGATCTCCAAGATCATCATGACCTCTCCGGATACTCTCTTTAATTGAATTTGTTTTATAATTCTTGAGGTCAGTGTCTAGTTTTTCAAGCTTTATAGCAGCTTTTTTGGTTTTTGCTTCCACCCACATTGTATCTAAGACAGGTATGTCTTGAGAGCCCATTTGGACAGCAACATCCGGTAAACCAGCAGAAGCAATGGCTTCAGCGAGTTTTTTATGAAGAGTTTGATAGAGATTTACGTTATATGTGGTCATAACGTAAGAAATTGCCATCTTCAAAGCTTCTAATCTCAATTGTGGGCAATGGTCAGCTATGAACATCAATCTGTACAATTTAGCAAAGCCAGTATAAGATGCAGCATATGTCTCGAGATCTAAACTAGGATTTTCAACCACGTAACATTCCGCCTCATTGTTCTCATTATCTTCCAGTGGTACATCCACAACCATCGGCTCCGCCATACTCTATGAATACAGTAAATCGTATCATTATTACATTTACTACGATTTAAAGGAGGAGGAACTATAAGAAACGTATTTCAGAATCAACGACTTACCATTTCGAACATTTTTCTTGAATCTATTGGAGTGATAAAGAAAATACACGAATTCCACTGTCAACGCAGGAAACCAACCTAGAACATAACTCCTTTGTAAATTCTATGCATTTTAATATCAATTAACATGTTGTATTTTAAATAAACTTAATCACGATTTTTTAAATTAAAACAAGTCCTTGTCAAAAGAATAGTTATTATCAAAATACCTTTATCATTACGTTTCTTTTTTGCAGCGGCATTTTTCTTTTTGACGAGAATTTCAGTGTTACCATGTGCATCCTTTTTGTTTGAAAACAATTTTATCGATTTAATCGGTTTATTTTGAGTCTCCTGTAAAATGATCAAAACTATGATGCTTTTTAAAGCAATTTATAACCCATTGAAAAACCTTTATAAAGACACTTAAAAGAAATAATCATCACGATATTTAAATTGATATTTTTTTCAGTTTTCTCTGTACTCAGAAGTATCTAAGTTGGTTGGAGTTGAAGTTAAAGTAAATAAAAAAGGAGGTTTTAGGAATTTGCTGGATAGACGTTAAGATATCAATTTAAAGACAAGACTATGAGTACATTTTTATTTAATACCCTATTTGTTCCGTGAGATAAACTTACTGGTTTTTGTAGTTTACTTTAAAAAAAAATATGTTCAATTGATATCAGCTACTCTTATTGTTATTTCACCGATATTATATCGATATTTAGTATTATGGAAGCCTGACTTACCTACAATCAAATGAAGATCTCATTACAACACGTATTACGAAATTATACGCATGCGCTGTACGATACTGGTCAATGTTCGGTATCCGACGACGTTGGTAATGTCAATTTCGCTACCCTTTTCAGGTTTCTATGTTTAAAGATAATGTAATAATTTTGGTGTATTACCAAATATTATAAAAACTTCTTGAATTATAATATTTGCATTAGTTCATTGTAAAAGAAAAATCACAAGAGTCGAGGAATTTGTTCCTTATGTCAAACAAAAAGTTAACTTCATGTTTATAGGTGTTTAATAATTTAAGTTAAATAACGCCGTGTAATAATTAAAATATACAAGACAAAAGTTTTGTAAGTAGTAGATTATCTACAGTACAGTTAATTTATAGAGTATTTTAAATTAGCCGATTTTAATAATCCGTATATTGTAATATCTTAAATGATAAGTAATAATTGATTGAAGCTAGTAAGTAACTTGGCCTTTTTTAAGCTATTTTTTCCACAGAAGCCTTGCACAACGCATATTCGACGGAGTGAAGTTATGCCTTTATTAAAATAGTGTGCGATATTAATTTAAAATTGGGCTAGTCTATAGTTAACTAATTGGTTATTATTTCGATTTATTACTATGCTCATCCATCACACGACTTCATACTAATGTTATAAATGCGAAAATTTGGATGGATGGATGTTTGTTATTTTTGTATCTCCAGAACGTCTGCATGAACGTCTAGATGAAATTTTATATAGATGTAGAATACTGTCTGAAAAAACATATAGGCTATTTGACAAGTTTTTTTTAAAATCTTGCGCTGACGAAATCGCTAGCAATATTTTCATACATTTAGACTATTGAAGCGACGACAAAATGGCGGGAAATTGTAAAACTGATTATTTCAGAGACAATATCATTTAAAGATTATTAAAAGTGATTACGAACATAATTTATATTGTTAATATGAATGTGTATATATTTAAAATTTACTAAATACACTGTGTATGTACATGTATTTTTAGAACTGGCGATGTCTTCTATACTGAGCTAAATAATCTAATTTTATTTCGACTGTCACCCGTGTATAGTTCAGCGGAGAAGCCATCTATTTTAAGAGAGTGTATACAGTTCATTCACTAATGAAAGTTGCGTATAAGAATGAAATATTGAAGAATATTATAATTTGCATAGCGAACGATAGTGCAAACCTTTTAATACTGTGGTAGGTTATTTATTTAAACTTCGTAACAGCGTTATAGTATTTACAGTGATGTAAACATGAGATAATATAGTTAAATCAAAATTATAAAAAGAGATCAAAGATAAAGTATCAATCAGCAGATAGATATAACTAGAGATATTGTTCGATAGTAATCTATAAAACGCTATTGTAGGTGTTTTAACGGCAGTTTTATAGAGTTTGTGAAGATGGTGGTTGTGCCGAATTTGATGGAGTTATTTGCCGCCAAAGGAGTTTTGTTGTTATTGTTGACTTTAACAACGGGATACATTTTGAAATGCGATGGCGCTGTTATCGTACGGTTGGATGAAGAAACATCTATCAACGAGCGTCCTATCATAGGAGTACTGTCCCAGGAACAATCGTTTTACCTGCACGGCAAATATCCTGAAGAGAATTACACCAGTTATATCGCTGCTTCATATGTCAAAGATATAGAAGCATCAGGTGCACGAGTAGTTCCTATCCTGTTAGTAGATTAATATAACATTTTAATAAGCAGCTAAATATTTTAATTGATAATATTTTTCTAAAGATATGAAAAATTTTCAGAATTGGAAAAGATCGACAATATTACAGAGATATTATGAGTAAATTGAATGGGTAAGTTAAAATTACTGTGTTATTTTACTTTGTTTTTTTTTTACCCACGACGCGGATCTTGCGAATGAACACAGAAATTGCACTTAAAAATAATTATTTATTCGAAAAATGGTCCACATTAAAAAGGATTGTTACTAGCACACAATTTTGAGTTAAGCTTTTGTGCGGGGGTTCCCCCTTTTAATAAAATTGTCTAAAACTAAATGATAAATAGGTGAATAGATGCATTAAATAGAGAAAATATTAAAAAGTAAGAATTTTGTTAATTTACTTTATTCTGTTGGATTTACAGTGTTCTTTTTCCTGGAGGCGCGACTTATTTCAATCAGTCCGATGGTTATGCTGACGCTGGTCAGCATATTTACGAAATAGCTATAGAATTAAATGACGCAGGCGACTATTTCCCTATATTCGGTACTTGTCTAGGATTCGAACTCTTCATCATCATTGCGTCTGGCCGTGGAGAGAAAGAGAATAGGATCAGATGTTATTCTTATAACAATTTGCCGTTACATTTTACAGAAGGTAAGTTAATACTTAGTTGTAAAGTAAGTATTTTTTAATCTTACTAATATTACATTTTGCGAATGTTTGGATGGATGAATGTTTCTATGAAGTATCTCCAAAACGGCTCCATCGATCTCGCTGAAATTTGGCATAGATGTAGTAGTAACATAGTCTGGAAGAACACTTAGGCTACTATACTAAGTTTTTTTTATTCTGCGCGGACCTAGACGTGGTCGAAAGCTAGTATTATATAACAAAACAAGCTTCAACTCGTTTGAAGAATGAATATTATAAGCTTTCTTAGAATTGGAACATGGAGGGTCAGTACTAAAAGTATATATGTATAGTTACTTAATATTAAGTAGAATTTAACTTTCCCAGATTATCGTAGTAGCAAAATGTTTAAGCAGGCTCCAGAGGATATTGTTGACATACTGGCTAATGAAGATGTAACCGTCAACGCGCATCAGTTTTGCATTGTCGATAAGGTCGGTATTCATTTGAATAAAAAAAAAAGAAAATCAAGTGGTCTGTCTAAGTCGATTAAATAGTTCTATCTTTATCTTAAAATACACATCTGCGAAGTAATTCAAAGATAAGTGTGATGTCAAGCAATCCACCCTGGCCCAGGCTGGTCGACTAACCTGGTCACAGCTATAAATGAGTTAGGCTCTGAGCCTTTCAATGAGGACGTATAGTGAGCTAATGATAATGAGTCACTTAGTCGGTTGTTATCAAAATGATTGCTGAGATGAAAATGATTGTATAATTGTTTCAGAACATGGAGTCTCATGATCTGGTGAAGGACTGGCGTGTGTCGTCGTACAGTGATGATGATTACGGTGTCAAATTTATTGCCACTATTGAACATAGGAGGTGAGAAAGAAAACTAAGAATATCAAAATTAACACAAAAAAAACATATGATATTATATGTATAATTATAATAAAATAGTTAACCACAGCTAGGACGCTATAGGCTATATTGTAAAATTGACAGAGTTATATATTTTCATAGAATGTCAAAACGTATTTTAAGATTATTTACGTATTATAAGTCGGCTTTTCAGTTGTATAGAGTTCGTAGTTCGTTGACACGAGCGGTGTGAAAAGGAAATTACATTAATATCTAGTCCATTTTGCTTAATAAGCGCTCGCTGAAGCGTTTAAACACTGAGGGGTCTAACCACAACTTTGAAATTGATGCTACAGGTCACTCTCACCTTAATGTTTAGGTTCAACGCCTTGCTTTTATAAGGAAAGGTTCGTGTTTATATACGAAAATGTTGCGGATGAACTTATCAACAACTAAACTGAATCGTGTTATGATTTCCTCTGCATATAAACTTTAAAAATACACAAACATGCTTTCAAATCAAGACTTGCATTTTGTAAACAAAGAAACATCGACCTTTTATGCTAAAATTTGTAAATCGCAAAATATTTGTATAAAACTATGTTACCGTTTTATTCTTATTTTACAATGATTGAAAATTTACAGCATTCTGGATATAAATATAAGATAGTGTCAGTCGCCATTCCTCATAATGGAGTTTTATGCAAGTAATAGATGATAAAAACCATGCATTTTATAGGTATCCATTCTATGGTGTGCAGTTCCATCCAGAGAAGAATTCCTTCGAATGGAAGTTGTCAAAGAACTACGCACATTCAATGAACGCAATCAAAGCGAATCGCTACTTCATGGATTTCTTTGTAAGCGAATGCAGACGGAATTTACATTCGTTCGCGACCGCTAATGAAGAGAATAAATACGTAATTTATAACTACGAGCCACATTTCACCGGTATCTTAGGCAGTATGTACCACCAGTGTTACTTCTTTGAACCAAGAGGAAATATGACGACAAAATAAATAACAAACTATAAATGTTGTTTCATTTTTCTTTTATTGAAATATTTAACAATGTCAACTCGAAGTTCATACTTTTCTATATTTCTATATATTTCTTGTATGTCAATAAGCGGAAAGATTTACGATATATATAATATAAATATGATATGATACTATGAATAACTACACTTCACATTTAAACATCGACCGAAGAAATTGTATTAAAAGCATTAATCTTTAAATATTATAGTTTAGGGTATTTAAGTATTATATTTTCATAAGTAGAAGATTATTTTAAGACGGCTCGATAAAAAAAGGGAAATTAATTAGATCGGATAAAAGATATAAAGATTAGTTAAAAAATC